TCTAGCCCCTGTTTTATAGCTGGGAACCACGAGATCTGCAGGGGAGGGGGGTTGCATGATTGCAGTGTACTACAGAGAACTAATTGAGGTTGAGACTCAATCTTGGATCAAAATCAAGGTTCATATGATATGTCTTTGGCTAGTCTGGGTGAATGTGTGGCCGGGATCGTTTCATTTGTGGCCTGGCTTGGATGTCAGTCCTTGGCTGCTCTTGAGGGTCCTGTCTGTGATGGAGGTTGATCTCTTTCTGTGCGTGACACTAACCACCTGGTGGGAATCTCAGCTGAGCCAGACCCACTCTCCCCACCCCCCGCCATCCTGCACTGTATGAGGCCAGTCAGATGCTCAGTCTGGCCCTGCCTGTGTGTGTGGCCGCTCGGGCTACGGAAACCTTAGCTGGAAAAGGCCTCATCAGGCAGCAGGGTGGGGGGCATGGAGAGGGATCCCGTGAGCAGGTTAGGGGTCACGATTTGCCCAGGCCAAGGGGGCACCTGCTGTGCCTGGAGAAAGAGCTACCCCCAGCTGGAACTGACTCAGTCATGCCTGGGGCCGTTGCAGGTGAGAGGTGGGTAAGAGTGAAGAGCCGTCCGTCCGGTCCCTGAGAGACTCTGGTTTCCATTGTCAGTGACAGAGAGGCGGCGGTTGGGCCAGCCCCTGCACCGGGCCGTGTGTGCTCCCTTTGTGGCAACCTCCTGGAGGGAGGCGTGGGTGGCAGCCGGTGGTTGTCAGGTTGTCAGTCAGCCTGCAGACGGGACCAGAGATGTAGATACAGAGGGCGCCTGATCCACTGGTAGGGCTGCACGCTCTGAGAAGACAGGTTTCTGTGTCCCCTGACAGCTCGTGGTTAGAGCCCATCACAGGCAGAACAGCTCGCTCCCGAGGTAATGAGCCCCCTGCCTGTGGGAGAGTTCAAGCACAGGGTGGAAGAGTCTGCTCACATGCCCCATTCATTCATTTATCCATTTCCCATCTAATCGCCCATCCAGTAGTTTTCAAGCAGTAGACTTAGGCCCGGGGCTGGACTATTGGTTCCACACTGACAAGATAAAAGTGGCCCTTGGCCTGACAGTGGGCTGTGACCTTGACCTGGAAACCAGGGAAGGCTTCCTGGAGGAAACTGTCTTGGAAGCTGAAGCCTGAAGGCTGAGGAGGACTTAGGGAGGTGGAGATAATTTGCAGAAAGAGGAGGCGGCATGTGGGAAGGGCAAGAGAGAACGTGGCCAGCGAGGAGCCGGTAAGCTCGGTGAGGCAGGGTTTGGTGGGGGGCTGAGAGAGGTGAGAGTGAGGTCAGCACATGGGGTCGCCTTAGGGGGTCTGAGCTTTATCTCGGGAGCCACAAGGAACCAGTGAAGAGTTTTAAGCAAGGCAATGACATAGTCAGATGTGTGTCTTAGCTGGTTTTTCCAGAAGCAAACCTTGAGACAGGGGTTCATAAGCAGGTTGTTTCTGTGGCGGGTGGGGGGTGATTCCAGAAAATACCAGTAGGGGAATGAGGGATTGAGACTGGCAAGGAGGCCAGCCAAGAGAGCATGTGTGGTCGAGCAAGTCGCCCCTGTGGGCACGGGAGCTTCACCCTGCTGGGGAACCCTGGGCATTCCGTCAGAGTTATTCCCCCCGACGGGGAGGGAGCTGGAGTGTTGATGCGCCACCCACCTCCCATCGGCCATTGGGCGAAGGCTGTCTGGGATGGGTGGGGCGCGGACACTGCGCCCTGGCTCTTCTAGCTTCCCCGTGGGGCAGGCAGAGCAGGCCTAGCTCAGGCCCTCGGGCAGAGATGTGGGGGCAGGCTCGGAGTGGGCCGAGGGACGGTAGGCTGGAGGGACACTGAGAAGCAGACAGGAGCCCAGGGATCTGTGAGGAGCCCACAGGAAGACATGTCCGGGAGATGTTGCTGTCCCGGGGAGGCTGAGGTTATGAGCAGAAGGGCACAAATGTCGGGATGCGGAAATGCCCAGGGTTGGGTGACAGACGGGGGGGATTCAGGAACACTGTGGAGAGGATGCACACCTCCCAAAGCTGCAAGGGCCCCTGCGCCTCCCAGAGGGCTCTCCCCACGCCCACACTGCCTGTTCTCCAGCAGGTCCCCCTTTGCAGCCTCCAGGGCAGCGGGGCCGCACCCCAGAGATCACTCAGCGGGTTTGAAGGGAGATGAAGGTGCTGTGAAGGAACTACTTTAAAAAAACCCCAAACTGGGCTGTGCTCGGTGCCAGCCCCAGGTCTGAGGAGTGATCACTTGGACCTAGGACGGGGGATGAGAAAAAAGCAATGCAGCCGAGACCCCCCCCGCCCCGCCCCCCCAGTCTGAACGCCACCCTGCCCCCTGGACCGTCCTCCAAGTCCACCTCTGTCTCCCGGTCAGACAGGCCGCCAGAGGGCAGGTGGGCTGCACGGCTAGTTTGCGGGGCCTGGTTTACAGAAGGTGCTCTGTAACCATCTGCTCAAGGATGGCACCTGTGAGTGGTCCCAGCGTTCTGTGCTCTGTGTGCTTGGGAAGGGGGCGGGGGGAGTGCTGGGGACAAGTGAGCAGCTTCTAAGGACAGATGGGGGTGGAAGGATGGTTGGGAAAGGGGACGGGAGTGTTGAAGTAGTGAGGGAGAAGATGGACGGTGTCATCAAGCCAGGGTTTTTCTTTGCCAGAAAGAGAAGCCAAGTCTGGATAAACTCACTAGAAAAAGAATGTAGCTCTAACCAATGACTGATGGGAGGTGCTATAAACTGCTGCCCAACTCCCTCCACGCGGAGCTGGGATAACTCCGAGGTGCGTGTTCTTCGTTGGCTCTGGGGGCCCACGGTGGTGACTTGCTGAATGGTGGGTCACCGTCCCTTCCCTGGCTCACTCGTCCTCTCCCCTGCTGGGCTTTCTGGGATTGCCTCTCCCATAAATCACCTATCCTCGAAACTTTGGCTCACCTCTGCTCCTGAAGGGACCCCATACCTGGGGCAGGTGCCTCCTACGGACAGACCCCATCGCGTGTCCTTTCCTAGTTGCAGGGGAGGACGGGGAAGCAAAAGAGTCGGGCATTTCCAGCTGCTGGGGGGGTGGGGCTCTGCTTTCCACCGGGACTCATAGGCGGTGTGTCATCAGGGCCCCTATCGGTTCATTGGGGCTGTTTCAACAAAATATCACAGACTGGGTGGCTTACGCATGGGAGAAATACGTTCCTCTCCATTCTGGAGTCTGGAAGTCCCAGGTCAAGGTGTCGGTGGATTCAGTGGGCCTGTTTTCTGTTTGTAGAGAGCACCTTCCCATGGGTCCTCCAACGGTGGAAGGGGCCTGAAATCTCTCTGGGGCCTCTTTTACGACGGCACTAATCCTGCTCACATGCCCTCCCACAGCACCCACCTCCTGAGGCAATCACCGTGGGGGCTACTATTTCAGCCTGTGACTTTTGAGGGGACACAAACATTCAGGCCATAGAGAAGCCAGTGGCAAATTCAAATTGTAATAATTTCAGGGAGGGTTGTTTCTAAAAGGCCTGTGTACAGAGGGGGGTTATAGAGAAACACATGGGATAGTGCAGTAACTCAGGATTGGTACAGTGGAACTGCTACCATCCCCGGGTCTGAAAGGGTGAGAGAGGGGGGCAGTTGCCCAGAGACAGGCAGAAGCCCCCTGGGAAGAGCAGTGACCCAGCTGGACCCGGGCCACCTCACTGAGAGACTGGAGGGGAGCAAAAGCTCGAGTCTCTGAAATTCCCACCAACCCCCCCAAGCCTCCGATCTCTTGCCCCCTAGAGACGGGTGCGGACAGATCAGCCTCCCAGGCCAGAGCAGGGTGGGACAGGGTGAGGACAGAGCCTGAGGAGGGCCGATGGAAGCGATCTGGCCCAGCAGGGAACTCCCCAAGCAAACAAGGGGCCTCGGGCTGACAGTCTTCCAGTCTGTGTGGGTTGGAAGGGGAAATGTCACACTGGGTCTCGAATTGGGGCTGAGGGCGAGCTGCCCCTCAACAAGGTCGGCCCATTCCTCCTCCCTGGCCATCCCACACCTTTTCGCCCAAGGGCCCTTTTTCTAGAGGCTTGCTGGTCTCTCCCAAGACTGGGGCTCGGAGCACCGTGCGCAGGACTCGGAGACCTGACTGTGCTAGTAACTTCTACAACCGCAGCTCCATCCTCCGGGTCCCAGCTTCCCTAGATGGAACACCAGGAGGGGTAACAAGATGGCCTTTCAGTACCCTTTATGGAACACTGACCTTCTAGAAAGGCTTGTGGCCCCCTTCCATACAGTCCTGGGAACGGAGAAAAATGAAGAGTATCCTTCTGGGGAAACCAAGGCCCAGGGAACAAAGCGATTGCTGGAGGTCACTGATCCCGTGGGCACTTAAACAAGGCTCCCCTCTTCAGTCAGAGCAGTCCCCCGAGCCAGGCCTGCTTTCCCAGGGGGCTACGGCCCACACCCATGTTTATTTTCAATGAGCGCAGCAGCCTGCATGACCTTTCAAGATTTTTCTTGTGCTCTTGTTTGTGCGCGTGGCTGTGAAGGGAAAGGTGTAAGAACATTGGCTTCAACCAGCCTTTTAGAGCCAGCCAGTCCCTCCTGCCCCCACCCCCCTTGGGGATTCGGGGTCAGTGTAACATGACTGCTGGGCTTTTGAGAGTATGGGTCCACACAAACCTCAAAGGCCTTAATTTGCAGGGAGTTTCGGAGAGAGTCAGGAAGCCAGGCCAGCAACCCAGGGCCCCTCTGACGGCAACCCTGCCCAGCCCAATCCTGCCAGTTCTAGCAGGCTGCCTGAATCTCGCCACCCACCCCCATGGGGCCTGTGTCCCAAGCGTGTGAAACAAAGACCATTTCATTTGAGGGCAGACCCCCGAGGCTCTGGGGTTCCCTACATGCCAAGGCCAGGAAGCCTCAGTCACCCCCTAGTTGGAGCCACTGCCTTCTCCCCTCCAACTATGGGGGACGAGGGAGAGCTCTTCAGCCCGTCACATGGGTTCTGGTGAAATGACAGCTTTCAAGCTGATGGCTCTGGATCGATTTCGGCCTGCACACACGTTCTCTGTGACTTGTACGTAGGTTTATTTTTACAAAGGGAACTGCATTGCCAACAATTAGAGAAGTTAATTTGGGGTTTCTGGCTACTTTCAGAAATCCCCAGCCCTGCCAGCCCTCCTGTCTGGGAATGCCTGGCGGGGCCAGAGCTCCATAAATCAGCTCACCATAGTCCTCACCATTCTTTGTGGCCACCCGGCTAGGGGCTGAACGTCTGTTGCCTTTCTCCCCGAGTTTGTGCTGCTGGGTCTCGAATCAGGAGTTTCGAGGGAAGTGAAATATTTTGGGTCCCCACGTTTCCAGCGCAAGTGGAAAGCCACTTGCTGGCCTGCTCCGGGGTGAGCGCCCTGTCCTGCTGCGTAGGGTTGCTGATGTAGACGTCCGTCTCTCCGGCCGCGTTTGGTCCCGGCCCTCTCCTCTGCCACAGGGACGGCCATGACGGTGGCCATCACAGCAAGGATATAAGTCCTCCGTCAGGCTGTGCACACGCGAGGCCGGTCCAGACGGTCCCAGATTTGGCTGAGGGGCACAGCTGCTGGGCGAAGAAGAGAGAGCAAGCAGAGCAGCCGGGACGGGCAGGGTTAGACCCAGTGGGATGGAGAATTCCCCATGCGGGCAAGGGCTGCAAGGGAAAGTCTTCAGTGACAGCAAGCAGTCTGGGAGGAAGGGCCTCCTGGCCTTCTGCCCAGCTCCTGACCCAGGCTGTGGCGTGGGTAGCAGGCGCTAGAGGGCGTGGCCTGGCCCCAGCTCATTTCCAGGGCTCGAGAATATCAGAGAGCTAAGGCAGTTTGGACAGGAGACTCAGGGCTGGCCTGGAAATTCAGCCACTTCGTTGAAAAAAAAAAAAAAAGTAAGCCTCAGTTTTCCATCTATCTACTGGGGATATGGAGAGAGGCCCTGGCTCCCTCCGTGAGGACCCCATTCAGTCCAGGCAGAGGTCCCCTGGTCCTCTCAAGGCCCACTGCGCTCACCACACTGGCCCACTCCGGTTTCCTGGAGGCGCCCCCAGAAGACCGTGGGGGGCATACTGCAGGCAGGTTGCCCCCTCCAGGTGAGGCAAGCACTTGGCGTGGTAGAAGAATCTCAGGTGACCGTGGTTCAGGTTGCACATCACCTTATGGGAGCCCGACTGCGCTTTCTGGTCGCAGGTGCCGAGGAGGTCGTCGTCCCAGCCTCTGTCTTCGTCCCAGACCTGCACCCGCAGGGGCCTCTCCGTGGACAGGAGCACGTCCCCGAAGTCCAGCCGTGTCTCCCACTGGGGGTGGTTACTGTTCCACACCGTGTTGGTTCTCAGCTCCTGGTCTCCAAAGAAGACTTTCAGATAGGCATCTGTAGCAGTGAAGTGGTCTCCCCACAGGCCCGTCGCCTGGAATTTCATCACCTCCAAGTGGGCCAGGCCCCTCTGCCGGGGACAGCAGTCCTGGTTGGTGGCCGCCGAGCTGGGGCACACACACTGGCATGGGTTATGGGGGCTCTTCTGCTGCCCCGGGGGGCAGGGCCTGCTGCAGTCCTTCCACCGGGCCCTGTCCATCACGTACTTGCTCACGGCCCGCCTCAGCGACTCCCGCCGTGGGTCCCGGCTCTCCACGAGCACGTGCAGAGGCTCCAGGGTGTAGTCCACCAGGCCGGGTCTGGCCAGCAGTGAGTCCATCCAGGCTGAGAACTGCTCCGGCCCGGCCTGGTTCCCAAACAGCAGGTCGCCCACGGAGGTGTGGTGGCCCCCGACTATTTGGGAAAAGCGTTCCCGGTAGGACTGGTGGAAGGAGGTCTCCATCTTGTGCTGCTTCTTCTTTTCCTCACAGGCCTTGAATTCTGATGAAGAGCTGGCGCGGCCACTGATGCTGACCTGGGCCTCGACGGCCAGGCAGTCCTCCACCTCATTGGCTGTGAGCCCGTTCAGGGCCAACTCACAGGTGCGCAGGGCAGTGAGGGCCGAGACCCGGCCGCCCAGCTCCAGGGACCGGATGAAGTGGGTGCCATAGTGGGAGATGAGCCTGATGTAGTCAGCCTCTGTGGAGGTGTTGAAGTTGGGGGGCAGGTCACTGAGGGCCTTCTGGAAGTTGGGGTGGAGTGGGGGAGAGTGTACCAGGTGAAAACTGGAAGGGGAGAGAAACATCAGATGGGCCAGCAGTGGTTAGTTTTCCCCATTCAGCCATCCCTCAAGGTTGCCCAAGGTCACATGTAAGTGATAGAAAGACAACTTGAACCCAGGTGGCCTGGCTCCAAGCCCAAGCTCTGAACCACTGAGCTGTCAGGGAAACCCAATTGCTCCTTGGTGACCTAGGTATGCTGAATTTCTGCTTTTCCTTTGCAAAGTAAAGTTTTTTCTTTCCTTTTTATTTTCTAGTTAGAAAACTGATGGTGACCCTCTAGCTTTGGAACCTAGTCCTGTGGCCCTGTCCGTCTGTCCCCTAGATCGGGCTCCTGATAGCTCTGGCCACGAGGCAGGAGGCGCCCTGTCTCACTGTGGGAGAAATCAGGGTGGGTGACTTGGGTGCTCCATGGAGACCATGCATTTCTGGGATTGTGGGACCCAGGTCCCTGAAGGGAGGGATGTGATTGCTGCTGTCTAGCCCTGTAGTTCTAATTCCCAGCACAGAGCCTGATACATGACAGGCATGCTCGTGGTCGAGTGGGTGAATGAGGCCCAGTGATGGGAAGTCTCCTGCCCACAGGACAGAGGGAACTGGGCACTCCGTAGATCCAAATGGCACCATGTTGCGGATCTCAGCACAGCCTTGCTCGCTCCTCCTCCACCTGTTCTCTCCCAGGGCTCTTCCTGTTCAGGGGACCCCGGGGAGGAGGCCCGAGGGCACCATACCACCCAGTGTGCGAGAACCGGGGTTGTGTATCCTCCTGGTGGACGCAGCCTCCGAGTCCCCACCCTGCCATCCCAGGGCTCCGGGACCACGCCGAGTTTCCCAGCCCTTTCTCTGAGCTCCTCCACCCCCACCTGCAGCACTCACCTGTAGAAGTGACACTCCACCAAGTCAGTGCTGAAGCTGTACTGGTCCTGGTGGGTCTTCTGGGCAGCGAAGTTGGCCACCCTGGAGTGCGAGCCGGCCACGGTCACCTGCACATTGGCGCTGGGTTTGGGAGACACATCCAGCCCCACCCGCCAGTCATTGCGGATGCTGCTGGCCGCCTCCCTGGCCACGCCCTTGATGGAACTGGCCTTGGCCCTGACCACTTGGCGCTGGCAGCCTGAGCCCTGGGAGCGCCAGTCGGTCAGTGCCAGGGGCAGGCGCTGGAGGGCGCCCTCCTGCAGGGCATTCTGGCAGAGGGTGCAGGTGCCATCCGGCCGCAGGAAGCTCTCTGTGTCCACCGGGAAGGAGCCCGAGCGCCTGAGGCTGGTCACGTCCACGCCCTCCCCGGCCAGCGCCGCGCCGGGCACGAACACTTGGTTGCGCCGGCACTCATTGCGGGTGGCCGTGCGGCAGGGGGCTGGGGTGGGCGTGGGCAGCAGCAGCAGGAGGAGGCCCAGGAGGAACAGGCGGGCACCCATGGAGCTGCGGAGACAGGGGGCGTCTGGGCTCTGGAAGCTGCGGGCAGAGGTATGGAGGATGAACCGTCATGGCATATGGAATGGAGAGGGAATGGGATACCTCGTAAGTCATTGAACGTCAGAGCGGCAATGGCCTTTACAAAGCTGGCCCATCCCCCACCTGTACAAATGGGCCCAAGGATGAGAAGGGACTTGCCTGAGGTCACACAGCCAGGAGGAGCCCCTTGCTAGGATTTCATTATTTAAGGCCTAATGGGGTTTCAGACTGCTGGCTTTGTCCCCAGGACCACAGCCGCTGCTGGTGGGGAAGGGGCTCTGCGCACGGAAGAGGGGGCAGAGCGCAGATGGAGCGATTTTGGGGAGGGATCTGGGACTCTAGAGAAGCCTGGATTCTGGGGGAGTATCATTTTGGGCCCCAGAACAAGCCATGCTTTTCCCACCTCACCTCTCTCGTTCTCTGTCTGCCCTCTCTCGTTCTCAGCCCTTACCAGAACTGGGAAAGAAAGAATGCGTTGCCCTTTTTGTCCCCACCTTCCCGTTGGGGCCTGCTCTCTGAGCCTCATGGGAGAACAGCAGCCCGAATTCCAGCCTGGAGGCTGAGCACGTGCCTCTGCCCTTGCCTCCTGTGTGGGGAGGGCTTCACGCTCCCTCTCCAGATCTCCGGATGCCCACGCCTCCTCTGGCATTCTCTGCCATGCTCTGCAGAATTCCGGCAGCACCGCGAGCTACCTGTGGCCTATTGTTGGGCAACCATCGGCTAGAAATTTCTTCCCAATTTTGAGGTGGCTCTGGAGCCTCACAGGGACCCGTTTATAATCTGGAGTCTCCACACTCTCCCCCTATCCAAACTGGACTCCTCGGAGGGCTGTCCCTTCCAGTGCCTGCCAGGGACCGCAGCTTCTCTGAGACATGGGGGGCTGTGGAGAGCAGGAACGCCTGCATTCTAGCCAGGGCCTTCTGCACCTCACCTGAAGGAGTGACTGGGTGGTGGGATTCCAGGTGACATGCAGGCCCCAGGGGAAGTAAATAGGAGAAGGCTCTGGGGTCATCCCACTTGGGAGGCCAGCACAGTTTATGACCTTAATGCACAGAGCTCCATCTCTATCCTGGTCCTTGTCATATGATCTTCCAGGGAGCCTGTTTCCAGCTTTCTAAAAGGCTTTCCCTGTCAGCATCTGAAGCGGCCTTATAGACGATGCCCTATAGCGTTTCCACTTTCTCTGTGAGGACACCGAGGCCCGGAGCAGGCAAGAGGCCACCCAGCAAGTCAGTGACAGAACACAGTCTCATGGGTCATAGCACTTCCTGCTCCAACAGGCTCTTCCCCGGATGGAGCAGCCCCACTCCCGGGCCTCTCTGTCCCCACCCAGGGGCTCGCAGCCTCCCCGATGCCCGCCTTCCTCCCTACCTGGGGTCCTGGGCGGAGACGCTCTACACGGACATTCTCTTCCCCCAGGAGAGGCTCCTGAAATGGTGGTGTCAGCCCCCAGGCAGGCTCACCACACAGCTCATCACCCAGGCCACCGTGCACATCACTTCTGCTTCCTGCCCCGCCCCTCCAGCTGTGGTCATGGGTCCCCTCCGCTCTCCCCCTCCCACCAGCACCCATCCTGTCCTCACCTCCCCATCCGGCCCTTCTGACAGCCCTCCAGGAAGCAAAGCTGTGAGGGCCAGAATCTCATCCCTCAAGCAGAGCTGCCTGGGGCGCGGAGGCCTGGGCTGACAGGTGAGGCTTGGTGTGGAGCACACACAGGGGCCTGGGGATTTTGAGATTCAACTCCGGGGTTGACGAGTGGGCCAGCAGGGCAGTCCCCCTGCTTCTGATCTGCAGCGTCACGTGTCTGAGGTCCAGGAGGTGGCATAGCTTAAGAGCTCACCATGGGGCTTGGAGCCTGCCGCCTGGCTTGGGCTTGGGCTAGCTCCTTTAGGCTCTAGCTGTGTGACCTGGCAAGCTTCTCTAGCCTCTCTGGGCCTGAGTTTCCTGGCTGAAAAGGGGGATGATAATAGTGTAGACCCTACAGGTTGTGAAGAACGTGAGAGTTACTATGTGTGATGGGCTTAGAACAGTGTCTGGTTCTCAGCATGTGTGAACTCAGGTGACCATTCCCCGCTCCCCAGGCAGTGGGGAGAAATTAACCTCCTGGCCCACTTCCTACCCACACCTGCTTCCCAGCCCGCCCCGGCTCTAGACCCCAGACAACGTACCCCAGGACACAGTGACCTGTTCCCCCTTTTGTGAGGAGAACCAGTGGCCACACTGGTTCCCCAGCCCCTCCCCAGCCCTGGCCTGAGGTTGCAGCCGCAGAGTGGGTGGGTGAACAAATGGGGAAAGAGATGTGAGTGGGGCCAGAGGCCCAGGGTCTTCATCCTTTGTCTTACCTGAGGTCAGGGTGGGGTGAGGTTTCCATGGGTTGAGTGACTCACAGGGCAACTTCTGGGGGCCAAAATCACACTGGTTTGAGGTGAAGACAGCTGGGTAAGTGGGGGGGCTGTTTCAAGAGTTCACACTCCCAACTGGTGTACATGACGGGAACAAATACCCACAGGCCCCAGACCACATGTGACACCAAGGGGTGGCTCACCCCTTGAGTCTTTGTCCCCCCATGAGGGCCTTGCTCTTACAGGAACAGGGGCTTATGCTGCCTTCTGGGAACCTGGACGCCATCTCATCCCCGAGGTTCCGCCCCCCTCCAGAAATTGTAGCCTCCTGACCGCGTTCTATCTGTCTGTGCCTAATTTTGTCACATGGACGTAAACAGGAGTTGGGTTGTTGTTTGCATGGCAGCGTGAAGACATATATTAAGATCTTTGAAACTTTTCAGAGACTGCTACCAGGTAAGTACTCTGGAGCGGCATTCAGAGAAATTAGTGTTGTTTTTACAGAAGTAGAAGGTAACCCGATTAAAATAGATCGACACATCTCAACATCAGCTTTTCAAAATGAAATTCAATTTAAACGGAGGAAAAGGCCCTACATGTCGAATAGTGTTGATACCATCGCATGAATAAAATTACATCTCTGCGTTTAAGGAATGGATAGGGACACGCCATGTTTCTTTCAGGAACACAAAACATATTTAGAATCTAGTGTGATTCAAAACATATCTGTTGAATGCCCCTGTTACTGCTGCTGTCACCTTTAAAAATAAAAATCACCCGGAAAAAACTAAAAAAAAAAAAAAAGAAAGAAAAAAGAAAAAAAAAGAGGTCAGCCTGCCGAGGCTGTGAGTTTAGTTCTGTAGGAAGAGACAGGTGAGGAAGAGGGAACAGGTTGTAGACTCAACTTTGTTGGAAACTTGCTAAGTTTGAACCCCTTTCCAGGTTAGTTTGCTCATCCATAACATCAAACGGAGGACTTGGGGATTTCTCACAATCCTTGGATTCTTGATGAAATGTGCATTTGGCACTTTCCGAGTGCCATGTGAAGTCGCTACTGTCCGAGGGACCCTGGTGGGGGCGGTCCGTTAAAGAGCGAGGATGACATCGGGTCTAGGATGACCTTTCTTGGCCTCTGCGCTTGATGACAGCTGTCCTCCCCGGGTGACATTTAGCGCTTCACAAGAGATTTACGAACACTTTTTTGTCTGAGATGTAAGTTTTCACACAGTGTGTTCAATTGCCAGACACCCTCCATATGGTTTATGATTAGTCACTTTGTTGAAATAGAACTCACATACAATCACGCATTTAAAGTGTACAATTCAGAGGCGCCTGGGTGGTTCAGTCGGTTAAGTGTCTGCCTTTGGCTCAGGACATGATCCCGGGGTCCTGGGCTCAAGCCCTGCATCAGACTTCCTGCTCAGTGGGGAGTCTTCTTCTTCCTCTGCGCCTCCCCCTGGCTTGTGCTCTCTCTCTCTCTCTCAAAAAAGAAAAAAATAAAGTGTACAATTCAGTGGTTTTTAGTATATTCACAGAGTCACGTACCCACCACCATGATCAATTTTCAAACACGTTCATCACTCTGAAAAAGAAACCCTGTATCCTTTAGTGGTCACTGCTCTTTTCATTAGACGCTGGTCTACTTTCTGTCTCTATGGATGGAGGACAGAAAGTGTAGGACATTCCGTATTAATGGACTCATGGAAGATGTGACCTCTGTGTCTGGCTTATTTCATGTAACATCATATTTTCAAGGTTCATCCAAGTTGTACCATGTTATCAGTCCTTCATTCTTTTTTTGTGGCTGAATAATAGTCCCTTGTATGGAGTTACCACTTTGTATTTACTCATTAATTGTGGCCATTTGGGTTGTTTCCACTTCGGGGCTGTTATGAATAATGCTGCTATGAACATTTGCGTACAAGTTTTTGCGTGGACCTGGGTTTTCATTTCTCTTGGATATATACCTAATCATGGAATTGCTGGGTCATAAGGTAACTCTACATTTAACTTTTCAGGAACTGTTTTCCTACATGGCGGCACCATTTTACTTTCCCACCAGCATTGTAGGAGGGTTCTAACTTCTCCACATTGTTATTATTGGACTTTTTAATTACAGCCATTCTTGTAGATGTGAAGTAGTATCTCAGTGGTTTTGATTTGGATTTCCCCAATGGCTAATGATGGTGAGCTTCTGTTCATTTGCTTATAGGTCATTTGTATATGTTCTTTGGAGAAATGTCTATTCAAGTGCTTTGCCAATTTTTGAATTGCGTTGTCTTTTTGTTGTTCATTTATAATAGTTCTTTATATATTTTGGATTCAAGACCCTTTTCAGATATATGATTTGCAAACATTTTATCCTATTCTGGTTATCTTTTCACTCTCTTAAGAGTGTCCTTTGAAGCACAAAACTTTTTTTTTAACTTTAATGTAGTCCAAAGTATCTGTTTGTCTTTTTGTTGCTTATATTTTTAATGTCATACCTGAGAGGTCTTTGCCTAACCCAAGATCATGAAGACTTACTCCTATACTTTCTTCTAAGCGTCTCATAGTTCTACCTCTCCCGTTTAGGTATGATTCACCTAGAATTTATTTTTGTGTTTGTAAAGGGGTCCAACTTTATTCCTTTGCTTGTGGATATGGTTTTGATGTCTATTTTCCTAAGGTTACTAAATATTTACCCTTGACAGAAAGGTTCCACGGATACTCTACACAGAATGCATGAGGAAACTGTTGATCCTGATTGCATCTACTTACATAAACTCTACTTACTCTAGGCACTACACACACGAACTATAATCAGAGAGGTCCTTCAACAAAACAGGGGTGCAGATTGCAATTATTGTGCCTATTTTGAAAAAAACAAAAAAAAACAACAAAAAAAGAAAAAACCAAATGCAGTCACAGTGACATTCCCTTCATCCTGTGATTATTCTTGGTTCCCTCTTCCTCTGGGGTTCTTCATGGAAAGACCCGGGGAGTCTTTCCTCTTTTTCCATTCTGTGGAACACTGGCACCCAGTTTTTGTACTCAGCCCATATCTTCAGCAGTGATGGCTCTATTCGGATTTTCTGGCTTTTTTCCTGGTATCAGTTTTGGCAAGTTATATTTTTCTAGGAAAATTTCCAATCTGTCTGAAATTTCACTGTTGTGACCATGAAGTTATTTATAGTAGTCTCTCTCTCTCGCTCTTAGAAAAAATATCTTTCTGAATCTTTTTAGCGATGTTTTCTTTTTGATCACAGGTTTTTATCATTGTCTCTTTTTTTTAGATGAGTCTTGCTAAAGATTTTTCTATCTTTTATTATTTTTTTTAAAGAAGCTGCTCTTGGCTTTATTGATCCTCTCTATCGAATCATTATTTCCTGTTTGATCACTTTCATTCTTACCTTTTAATTTCCTTCCTTTTTCCCATATTCTTTGAACTCCTTCTATTGTTCTTTTACTAACTTAAAAAAAAAGATTTTATTTATTTATTTTAGAGAGAGAGAAAGTCTGAGCATGGGAAGGGGCAGAGGGAGAGAGAATCTGAAGCAGACTCCGTGCTGAGCGCGGAGCCCCACACAGGGCTCGATCCCACGACCGTGAGATCATGACCTTAACCGAAACCAAGAGCCACTCAGCCACCCCTTACAAACTTCTTAAGTCCTTAGCTCGTTAATTTTCATTTTTGTTCCTTTTTAATGTAAACACCTAAGGCTCTACATTGCCCTAAAAATCTTTTAAACTGCTTCTCTATAGTTTTGGTAGGAAGTCTTTCTTCATTACTGCCTGGTTTCTTAACATTTTTTAAAAGTCCTGATTTTTCTTTAACCTGTGAGTTATTTAAAAGTATGTTTTTTACATTTTCAAGAAAATGGGGTTTTAAATACTATCACTTGGCTAGTGATTTCTAATATAGTCACACTGTAGCAGGACGTGTCTGGATGAAAGCCATTCCTTGATGCTGGTTGAAATTTTCTCGGTGGTTAACTAAATGTTTTGGTAAATATTCCTGTGTACGTGAGAAGAATATCTGTTGGTTGATTTTTTGATGCAGCGTACTATGTTCAAAACTACGGTCTCTTGATATTTTAATTACTAAGGAAATCATGTTAAACTCTCGCTCT